TTCTTGAACATCCACCTACCCGAGAGACATCTTAGCAGTAACTGGCATGTTATGACAAGCCGCCCATATTCAGAATACCAGAATTGAATTCTAGTTTCAATATTACAATCAAGGAAAGAAATCTTGTATCGCAAACCTAGAAGAAAAGTGATTGTCACAGTGATTGCGATGGTAGCTAACAAGTTGTGCGATTATGCACGCTACTTGTCTATCCTACAGACTGTAAGCTCTAGACAGGAGCAATGCCTGCCTTGTCCAGCTGTATTAACAGGCTGGCTTATGTGTGTTGGGTGCTCACGAGAAGCTGAGCAGATGGGATGAATACATTCATTCAAGAAAGGAGGAGGTACTTAGAAGGAACCTGGCACTTTTATGGTCATTTCACCCTTGTGATTTAGGTGAAAAGGCCCTCCTGTCCTACAGATGTTGCAATGTTTGGACTTGTGACATAAGGTGCCGGGGTCACATAGCTGTTATCAGTAATGTTGGTCTCTCTGATTGCATTGTGATAATATATATCAGCACGAATAAGTGAAGTAATGAAATGAACAATTAATGTAACCTTTTTTATTTTCAGCATGTTATCAGGTGGTTCGGATGGCGTGATTGTACTTTATGACCTTGAGAACTCCAGCAGACAGCCTTACTACACTTGTAAAGCACTGTGTTCCATTGGCAGGTATGTATTGAAAACATAACTCTTAAATTTTGTAAACAGTTGAGTATTTTTGCAAATAATGCAAAACATGAAAATAGCAATTATCTGAGTGGCTAAAGCACGCTCTTCAAATGATGCACTTATATTGATATCCGTTGGTGCTTTCTTGGAAATAACAGAAATTCAATAGTAGCCTTTTTTAACAAACCATTTGTCTTGCCCCCAAAAATTTTATAACAATTATCAAAAGAATTTTTAAGATTTTTGATTGTCTTTTTTGTTCTATATCAAGGAGCACACTTCAGTAACTTTTTTAGCTCCACTTAGTTTAAGGTTCATTTATGAGCCTTTCAGCTAATTATAAACACAAATTAGGTTTTTCAACTAACATTGATACAGAAAAAACAATTCAGAGCTAGATATAACAAGTATGCAAGCAACCTCTAACCACACATACATAGTTGTATCTCTACTTAAAGTTGCTTAACTTAAACAAACAAAGAAGTGTTCTTTCAACTTCTCTGGCTATTCTTTCTTGGCTTACCAGGCTGTGTGTGACCTTGTGTTACCTTTTTCTTACTGGTAGCTAATTCCTTCTCCTCCTCTGACCGTGCTTAGCAGACCTTTGCATGAACAGGGAACAGGTACCAAGGAATGTGATCCAGAAAAGTGACTTCATGAGCAGTGACATCAGCACCCACTCTATAGTGACTGCAGCAGCTCCCGGAGCGCTAGAGTCTGCACTTGGGGCTGTGGATTGACCTAGAGAGCTACCTGGGCTTCTTGGCTTTGCCCCTTCTAACCCTACCTCTCTTGAAAATACAGGCTTAGAAAACTTGCTAATCCCTCTGAGGTTCAGGTTAGTTTGTTGTAGTTAATTTTAATTCTCTTTTTATTTTATAAAAATCTCTAAGTATATACATAACAGAAGAAGAAAAGGTGTATCTGTAGGAAGTGTGTTTTTCCAGCCGTCTTAAGCTTTGTTTCATGTCCTCATTCCTTCAGGTGCACAGGTGTTCCACAGGTGTCTGTGGTTCTTTACCCACTTTTGGAGCACAGACCTTCACCCTTGGAGTCATAACCCGTGATGGAGCTATCTACAGATGGCCATCATATCCTATTAGTATTGTTTAACTTATATAAAAGTAGGCAGTGGTATAAGAACTATATACCCATTTCCCAACCATACCAACTATAAGCAATCTTTTTTCTTCTCTATCCTATACCTGTTTACTCTCAGGATTCTTTTGAAATAAATCCCATATAGCATATTATTTTATCCATAATTATTTATTTGTATCTCAAAAACACAAATGAGGGGCCAGTGAGATAGCTTAGCAGTCTATAGTGCCCGTTTATGCAAGCTTAGGCAGGCGCAGGGGACTGACTGAGGTTTGATCCCTGACACCACATGCAGTGCCAGCCCTGCCCTTAGGGTGGGCTGAGCTGGCCAAAAAAAAAAAAAAAAGAGAACAAGAACACAAATGATATTTAAGAGCATAGTCACAGTACTGCTATCTCATACAATTCCTGATATTAAATATCCAAGCAGTTGTCACATTTTCCTTAAAGTCTCATAACTATCAAACAAAAGAACAGTTTGTTTGAATTAAGGTTAAATACCATGCACATATACATTATTGTTTACTGGTTTTAAGCATGTACTCTAGTGTTTAGGACAGCACAACCCATAGAGAGGTGATGTAGCTGATATCCTAATGTAGTCATCCACAGATCACGCTTCTGTGGGTCATGGGTTACCCAGAACTCATGACTCAAGGATGTCCACCAAGAACATCCTTCTGTTACAGAATAAATTTCTTAATGAGCGGTATACTGTGGGATACCATGGAAGTAAGTGAGACTTTCAACAGTTGTAAGAATGGGAATGCTAATGCAATGATACTAAAGTAAAGCAAATCCAAACCTAAAGGAGGAATCCAATAAAGACAAAACCCAGCCAACTCCATGGTGGACTAAGTCTAGTGTAGCTGGGTGTCGCTGCCAGCTTGGACACAATCCAAAAATGGGAGGTCTCCCACATTGTGAGCCTTACGAGGAGGCCTTGCTGGTACATAATGCTATGGAAGCTTGAATCTCAGGATACCTGGAATTCTGCCCATCTTCAGGACAGCCAGGGCACAGGAATGTGAGTGGGATGTGACAAACTGTATTATACTGAGACTACTACTTACTCTTAGTACAGTACCAGGTTTGAAAGTCCCAGGAATCAGTTATCTCTAAATTTTGATTGCTATCTTGTAGAAACCATGCTGATGTTCACAAATACAGTGTGGAGACTGTTCAGTGGTATCCTCATGACACAGGCATGTTCACATCGAGCTCCTTTGATAAAACTCTGAAAGTATGGGATACAAATACATTACAAGTAAGTACATTAACACCGTCCTAACTTTCTCTGTAGAATAAAGAATTCCATTTTAAACCATTTTCGTGTGATTATTTCTCAAAATGTGAAAGCAACATAGTAGTTAAGGAGAGCTAGACTCTTGCTAATGTCCAAATCTCTTCATATTGCAGTTTTCTCAGCTATGAATAAAGTACCAACAACAGCATCTCATTGAAGAGTTGTGGGATCAAATACCCTGATATATGTAAAGTACCTGGAACAGTGCCTAGCTTATAGTAAATATTGAAAAACTGTTAACTATTATGTTAGTTGAAAACTGTGGGCTGGTACTTTAAAGAACATTGGACTTCCCCACCATTGATCTAAAAGGTTTAAAGAAAATAAAGGTAGATAGTATATAATGGTTTCTTTGATAGGCAGTTAAATTGAACTTCCTAGTGCTGACCTTTTCCCTGAGCTCTTCTCATGCTTCGCTACCTGTCTACATAATCTCCTTACTTAAATTACTTGTTGTCTTCCTTCCCAACAGGATATGCTTCAAACAGTGTGTTTCTCCCATCCACTTCACGTTCTCCTTCAGGTTCTCTCTTGCTTCTCTTTTCTGTTTCTCTCGCCAAACCTGCATCTGGACTACTGAAAACTAACTTATTTCCCTGTCTTACTTTGATTCTCACCTGTTTTCACAGAAAGTCTCCCCCAGGATTAGTCTTATTGTAAATTGGCTTTATCATGTCTGTGCCCAAGCTCAGCACTGATTCCCACTGTCTGAGCTTAGCCTCAGTTCTGAGTTCTCTATAATTTCACCCCGTTCTATCAACAGTGACTTCTAATTCCTTTCAAAACAGTGTGCTACAGCTAAATTCGTCTCCTTCACATTACATCTTGATTATGTTGTGCTCCCTCCCATGGATCCCTTTACGTGCCGTTTCCTTTCTCTTAAGATCAACATCCCCTTTACATGTGCATTGAACCCAGATTCAGGACGCTATAGTTCTAGTTCCATTCTACTGCCCATAAGATATGTTACTGTACAAAAAGTTGGTAGTTAATCAGCAAAGCCCTTTTCAGCTGTATAAGTGATGTGTTAGACTATATGGTGCCTAAAATCACTCCAGGCCTATTACATAATGAGTGACTGTAGCTCCTGGAGTTCGTTTTCATCACCATTTAGTGTTATGGCACTGTTTTCTACATTCATCACACTACTATTTACATCATTTTCATACCTGAATGTCTGCTTTCTATAATAGTGTTTCCTGTTGAAGGAAAGGATTGTGTTTTATGTACTGGTACATCCAATGTTATATGGAAACATTATATATGTTAAGGGTGTTTAATGATTTAACTAGCTATAGTTATTAATAACTAATAAATACTTCAAGGGTAACTAATGACCTAAAGAAGCATATATTAATACCTAATGAAACAGTTTAGTGATAATTGATGACTTAGCAACCTCATGTTAAAATCAAATAGAATTTTAAATTAAAGACATTCGTGTCAAAATAATAAATTGTGCTATGTAAATAAATATGGATTGGGTGTGCTTCCAACAACTCCAGTTAAATAGATGTTCTCATTCTGAGCCTTGCTATATTAGAAAAGAATATACCATTGATCATTTTGGATTTATATTTATGAGAAAATATTTTTAATATTTCTTATTGAAAATAAAAATATATGTTTTAAGAATAAATATCACAAATGTGTACTTGGATTATAATGGAATATCTAGTAACTGCACCAGCATCACCACTGGGAAAGACTAGAAAATCTAAACATAAATATCTGTTTGCTGGATCTGGAAATATGGGACCAGTGAGGCCAGAACCTAGAGAAAGAAACCTCATAGAGTTGAATTTGCCTTCCCAAAAAATGTTTTCCTTTTTGCCATTTGCCAAAGAAGCAAGTGGACCTTTAGTCAGTTTCATAAGACTGAGAGACAAACCGGAGTGTGGGGCTGCCAAGATGATCAGAAATTAAGGGGGCAAGATCACAGAAAGAAGAGGTTTGGAGAAGTAGCCCAATGCCGGGCACTTTTCCCTTCTTTTCTCTATTACCCCAACCTGGTTTCTCTTTCTTTTTCAAGTTTTTTCCCATTTTATAATATGTAATACATTTTGAGTCTTATTTACCCCTTCATTTTAGGGAGACAAAACAATGTGTACACATTTGCATCTGGTTTATTTCACTTACGAGTATAGTGTCAAATTACATCCATTTACCTATAAAAGGGTTCAGTTTATCTTTCTTATGGCTGAGTAATACTCCATTATATAAAAAGACCATACCTTTTGTATCTGTTCCTCAGTTGATGGGCATTTGGGTTGTTTCCAAGATTTAGTTACTCTAGATTGTACTGCTCTGGTACATTTTAAACTCTTGGGAAGGTAAACAGAAGGGAAATAGCCAGATCAAATGGGTCCTCTAATCCTAGTGTTTTGAGAAATCTTAACACTGATTTCCACAGCAGTTATACCAGTCTACACTCCCACCCACAGTGGAGAAGGGTTCCTTTTTCCCCACAGCCCCACCAGCATTTGTTATTGGTTTATTTCTTCATAATGGTTATTCTTTCTGGGATGAGCTAGAATATCAGTGTTGTTTTAATTTGCATCTCTCAAATGACCAGAGATGTTGAACATTTTTTCATCTCTTTATTTGCTGTTTGTATTTCTTTACCTGAGAAATATACATTCATCTCAGAAGCCCTTTTTTAGACTGGGTCTTTATTCAGGAGGTCTGAGTTTCCTGAGTTCTTTATACCTTCTCAATAATAATCCATTGTCTGAGGAACAGCCAGAAAGCATTATTTTTTCCCATATTGTTGGTTATCTCTTCACTCTGTTGGTGGTTTCTCTTGTTGTGCAAAAGCATTTTAATAAGATGAGAGCCCACTTGTTGATTCTTTGTGGTAGTTCCTATGTGATCAGGGTTTTATTCATAAAGTCTTTGCCTATCCCAGTATGTTTAAGAGTTTTACCTAATTCTCTTTCCCAGCAGATTTAATGTTTGTCTTAATATTGAGATCTTTGATCCATTTCAAGTTTAGTTTAGTGCATGGTGAAAGATATGGGTTCAATTTAATCTTTGTGGCATGTGCAGAGCCAGTTTTTTCAGCATCATTTATTAAAGACTATTTTTCTTCTAGTGAGTATGCTTGGCACCTTTGTCAAAGATAAGGTGGCTGTGTATGTCCGGGCTTGTTTCTGCACATTCTCGTCTGTTCCATTGATCTTGCAGTCTAATTTTTTTTTTTTTTTTTTTTTTTTACACCAGTACCAGACTGGTAGTTTTTGTTGTTGTTGTTTGTTTGTTTTTTATAGTTTTCTAGTAACTTTATATTATAATTTCAAGTGATGCTCCTTGGCTTGCCTTTTTGGCCCAGAATTGCCTTTCCTATTCTAGGCCTCTTTTGGTTCCAAATAAATTTTAGAATTGCTTTCTCTAATTTTGTGAGGTATGCTATTGGTATCTTGATTTTAATTGCATTAAATCTGTGTAACAGTTTTGGGAGTATGTCCATTTTCACTGTTTTGGTTCTTCCTACCCAAGAGCAAGGGTTATGTTTCTATTTTTCTGATTCCCACTTCAATCTAGTTTTTGAGAGTAGTATAGTTTTCAATGTAGAGGTCTTTTACATCCTTCTTTAGATTGATTCCTAAGTATTTCATTTTTTTGATGCTATTGTGAAAGGTGTTGTTTCCCTAATTTTCTTCTTATTGAGTTTATTATTCATGTACAGGAATGTTGTTGATTTTTAGTGTTGACTTTGTATCCAGCTATGCTACTGAATTTGCTTTTTAAATCCAGAAGGTTTTTATTGGAGATTTTGGAGTCTTCTATGTAGAATAGCATGTAATGTGCAAATAAATATAATTTAGCTTCTTCCTTTACTATCATTATTCCTTTTATTTCTTTCTCTTGTCTAGTTGATCAGTCATAGATGGCTTTTATTAGATTGAGAAAAAGACAGTCTATTTGGATTTTCTGTAGGGTTTTTATTATGAATGTGTGCTGGACTTTATCAGAAGCTTTTTCTGCATCTATTGAGATGATCATATGATTTTTGTTCTTGGCTCTGTTAACATGGTATATTATATTTATTCATTTATGTGTGTTGAACCATCTCTGCATCCCTGGGAGGAACGAATCCCACTTGGTCGTGATTAATCATCTTGATGACTTGCGTTCTGTTTGCCAGTATCACATTGAGGATTTTTGCATCCGTGTTCATCAGGGAACTTGTCCTGTAATTTTCTTTCTTAGTTGACTTTTTCTTTGGTTTGGTATCAGTGTAATTCATCCTTCCAGGAATGAATTTGGGAATATTGCTTCCATTTCAATTTCTGTCTGTATCTGCATTTAGAATCATTAAGCATGGTTTTCATTATGGACACCATTTCTGTACCCAACTGAGAAATTATTTCTGATATGATTTTTTTTTTCTAGAGCCCCATTTAATTGTTTTGTTGTTAGGAATTCAGAGAGATCAGGTGGATGGTTTTTGGATTGTCCCACCATTCTGCCCCCAGGGACTTTAATGAACTGAGTATCTGGAGTTGCATCTTACTTTAATGTCTTCTCCTTTTCTTTTCTTCTTTTTTCTTTCAGTTTAATTTCTGGGGTGAGGTTTGTAAATTGACTTCATTGGGTTGCTTTTTTGCTAGTATTTAGAGTCCTTGGGAAATTACTTCTTCTCCTGACTCTCAATCTTGGACTACCAGGAAAAACAGTTGTTTAAAACAATTATGTCACTTTTTTGCAGTAGCGGTACCAATAACAATAGCATAAAGCACAGCCTAGAAAATGACAAAATGAAGTAACCATTAATTTGCCACCTTTAACCATATGAACTAGATTTGTGGTTGTATAACAAGCTCTAGAACAAACCAGAATATTGTATGCAGTGTACAAGTTCTTCATATGTCAATTTTGACCTCAGAGGTTAAATTTTTAAATGGTTTAGGGAGAAAATAGAGAAGTAGAAGAAGAGGAAGAGATTAGAAGTAAGGCTG